AAGTAGATTTCAAAATGAAGGCCATAACTAGAGACAAAGAAGGCCACTACATAAAATTGAAAGGATCTATCCAACAGGAAGATATAACCTTGGTAAACATATATGCACCCAATATAGGCACACCAACATATATTAAAAATCTTTTGGAGGACTTCAAAGGAAAAATCAACAGCAATACAATCATAACAGGGGACTTTGATACCCCGCTGACATCACTGGATAGATCTTCTAGACAAAAAATTAACAAGGAAACACAGACTCTAAATGAAGCACTAGAGTAAATGGATTTAATAGATATCTAGAGAGAATTATGCCCCAAAACTACAGAATTCACATTCTTCTCAAGTGCACATGGGACATTCTCAAAGATAGACCACAAACTAACCCTCTACGAGTTCAAGAAGACTGAAATCATATGAAGCATATTCTTAGATCACAATGGCATGAAACTAGAAATCAACTGCAACAGGAACATGCCAAGACATTTGAAAATGTGCAGGCTAAATAGCATGTTACTGAACAATGAATGGGTTACTGAGGAGATCAAGGAAGAAATTAAAAACTTTCTGGAAACCAATGAAAATGAACACACAACAACACAAAATCTATGGGATGCAGCGAAAGCAGTTCTGAGAGGGAAGTTCATAGCCCTACAGACCTACCTCAAGAAGCAAGAAAAATTTCTAATAGACTATCTAACCTCACAACTTAAAGAACTAGAGAGCAAACAAAAAGAAAACCTCGGAACAAGTAGAAGGAAGGATCAGAGCAGAAATAAATGACATGGAGACCAAAAAAACAATTCAAAGAATAAATGAAACAAAGAGCTGGTTCTTTGAAAAGATAAACAAGATTAATGGACCCTTAGCTAGATTCACCAAGAAACAAAGAGAGAGAACCCAAATACACAAAATCAGAAATGAAAGAGGAGAAATAATAACTGACACAACAGAAATACAAAGGACTGTTCACAAATATTATGAACAATTATATGGCAACAAATTTGACAATCTAAGCGAAATGGACAAATTTCTAGAAACACATAGACTCCCAAAACTGAACGGGGAAGAGACAGAAAACTTGAACAGACCAATAACAACAAAAGAAACTAAAGATGTAATCAATACTATCCCAGCCAAGAAAAGCCCAGACTCAGATGGCTTCACGGGGATTTATACAGAACATTCAAAGAAGAACTAATACCCATTCTCCTCAAACTATTTCAAAAAATTCAAGCAGAAAGAAGACTTCCAAACTTGTTTTATGAGGCCAGCATAATTCTAATTTCAAAACCAGAAATAAACACTACAAAGAAAGAAAACTACAGGCCAATATCCCTGATGAACATAGACGCCAAAATCCTGAACAAAATACTAGCAAATCGAATTCAGCAATACATCAAAAAAATTATTCACCATGACCAAGTGGAATTCACCCCAGGGATGCAAGGCTGGTACAATATTTAAAGTCAATAAATGTGATACACCACATAAACAAAATGAAAGATAAAAATCATATGATCATATCAATAAACTCTGAAAAAGTATTCAACAAAATTCAGCACCCATTTCTGATAAAAACGCTCAGCAATCTGGGAATAGAGGGATCATATCTCAACATAATAAAGGCCACATATGAAAGACCTACAGCCAACATCATACTCAATGAACAAAAACTAAAAGCATTTCCCTTAAGAACAGGAATAAGACAAGGATGCCCACTTTTGCCACTCTTATTTAACTTATGGAAGTCTTAGCCACAGCAATAAGACAGGAAGAAGAAGTAAAAGGGATCTAAATTGGAAAGGAGGAAGTGAAACTGTCATTATTCGCAGATGACATGATATTATACGTAGAAAACCCCAAAGACTCCATCAAAAATTTACTAGACTTAATAAATAAATTTGGCAAAGTAGCAGGATACAAAATTAACATCAAGAAATCAACAGCATTCTTATACACCAATAATGAACTCACAGAAAGAGAAACTAAAAAAACAATTCCATTTATTATCGCAGCAAAAAAAATTTAAGATACCTAGGAATAAACTTAACCAAAGAAATAAAGGACCTATTTGCAGAAAACTAAAGGTCATTGAAAAAAGAAATAGAGAAAGATATAAAAAAGTGGAAGCACATACCTTGTTCATGGATTGGAAGAATTAACATCATTAAAATGTCCATACTACCCAAAGCAATCTATAGATTCAATGCAATCCCCATCAAAATACCAACGACATATTTCACAGAACTGGAACAAATACTTCAAAAGTTCATATGGAACCAAAAACACCTCGAATAGCCACAGCAATCTTGAAAAAGAAGAACAAAGTAGGAAGGATCACATTACCAGATTTCAGGTTATACTACAAACTCATTGTAATCAAAACAGCCTGGTACTGGCACAAGAATAGGCAGATAGATCAATGGAACAGAATAGAGAACCAAGAAACGGACCCACGGCAATATGCTCAATTAATATTTGAGAAAGTTGGCATGAGCATAAAATGGAATAAAGACTGTCTCTTTAATAAATGGGGTTGGGAAAATTGGATAGCTACATGCAAAAAAATGAAACTAGACCATCACCTTACACCATACACAAGAATTAACTCAAAATGGATAAAAGACTTAAATGTGACTCATGAATCCATAAAAATCCCAGAAGAAAATGTAGGCAACAAAATTGCAGACATTATACGAAGCAGAATTTTCACTGATACAACACCTAAGTCAACAGAAACAAAGGAGAAAATGAACACATGGGACTACATCAAACTCAAAGGCTTCTGCACAGCAAAAGATACAACCATCAAAATGGAAAGGCAACCCACTGTGTGGGAGAGCATAATTGCCAATGATATATCAGATAAGGGGTTAATTTCCAATATATATAGTGTTCATACAACTCAACAAAAGGAAGACAAACAACCCAATTAAAAAATGGGCAGAGGAAATAAATAGACACCTTCCAAAAAGGATATACAAATGGCTAAGAGACATATGAAGAAATGCTCAACGTCACTAATCATCAGAAAGATGCAAATTAAAACAACAATGAGGTATCACCTCACACCTGTCAGAATGGCCGCCATCAACAAATCATCAAACAACAAGTGTTGGTGAGGGTGTGGAGAAAAGGGGACTCTAGTGCAGTGCTGGTGGGAATGCAGACTGGTGCAGCCACTATGGAAAACAATATGGTGTTACCTCAAAAAATTAAAAATTGAACTTCCATTTGACCCAGTGATCCCACTTCTAGGAATATACCCTAAGAAGCCTGAAACACCAGTCAGAAAGAATATATGTACCCCATGGTCGTAGCAGCACTATTTACAATAGCTAAGTTCTGGAAACAGCCCAAGTGTCCATCAGTAGACGAATGGATAAAAATTAGTGGTACATATACACAATGGAGTACTACGCAGCTGTAAGAAAGAAAGATCTCTTATCCTTTGAGACGACATGGAGGGACCTGGAGAGTATTATCCTAAGCGAAACAAGCCAAGCAGAGAAAGACAAATATCACATGATCCCACTTATTTGTGGAATATAATGAACATAACAGTCTTAGGAATGGGGCAGACCCAGAGACGTGGAAGTGGGGTACAGACTGACAATCACCAGAAGAGGTGGGAAGGAGAGATAAACCACAGAACTTTTATGCATATGTGCATGAACAATGGACATGGACAACTAAGCTGGGGACAGGGCTGGGAGGGAGGGGGAGGGAGGTATCAGTGGGGGGGAAAGGAGAAACATCTGTAACAAAAATAAATTAATTAATTATAATAAATAAGTAAATAAATAAATAAATAATCATCAGCAAATAAAAGTAAAAAGAAAAAGATTAAAAGAATAACCTGGCAGAATTTTTTAATCAAATCATCCTCATAACTCTGCTTTATAAAGCACAAAGAGCCAATTTTAAGAAGTCTTTAAGCAATTTATTAATTTGTTTAGAGAGAGAGACATAGAAAGATTAATCACTGCCTTCTTCACACCCCTCCTGAGGATGGAGCCCAAAACCCCAGGCCTGTGCCCTAACTGGGAATTGAATGGGGACCTCTCAGTCCATGGGATGACTCTCAATCCACTGAGCTACACTGGCCAGGCAAAGTCTTTGAGCAATTTAAACAATATAGATGTTTCCAAAGAAACTTAACCTAACTATAATTTTCTATTCTTATGCTAATTATTGTTATTGAAATATATAACACAGATGTGGTGTGTGTGTGTGTGTGTGTGTGTATATATATATATATAAATGGAAAAGTACTCAGTCATAAGAAAAGAGGAAATACTGCCATTTTGTGACAGTGATGGACCTTGAAAGTATCATGCTGAGCGAAATAACCCGTCAGACAGACTGAGCTAAGAACCATATGATGTCACTCATAAGTGGGATATAAAACTGAAACTCATAGGCACAGACAACAGTATGGTGGTTACCAGAGGGGAGAGGCTGAGGAGTAGTAAAGGTAGAGGGGTCAAGTGCATGGCAATGGAAGATGACTTGACTTTGGGTGGTGAGCACACATCCCAATACTCATCGTGTATCATAGAATGTAGACTTGAAAACTGTGTAATCTTATTAACTAATGTCATCCCAATAAATTTAATAAAAATATATAGAAAGTTCAAGTAATCTATTTTGGTTTCCCGATAAAGTCAGCGTGTAAATAATCAAACTGTTTTTGTTACATGAGGGCCACTGGTCAAGTACTGCTCCTTCTCTAAAATAACCTTGAAAGCTGAATTGCAGAATTAATGTCTTAAACTAGAATCAGGGTTATCAAATATTTCCAGCTCTTCATTTTAGAACTACTAAATCCCTTAGTTTTTACATATACTTCAATGCAGTCAAACACTTAAATTACCTCAATTATATGACTTCTCTTAAAAAACAGCTTGTATTCTGAGACCAAGCAAACATAGCCTTTTGTGTAAATGAAGAGGGGGAAAAAAAAGAAAGGAATCGGGGAATTAATCTTATACTCACGGAATGTTCTGTAAAATTCTTCAAGAGCCAGGTGCTTGTCAGAGTTAAAATCATCGTATTTCAGTAGATCATACAAAGTACAATCTGAAAGATCCTTGCCAAGTTCTTCCTGTTTTATCACCTGACAAAAAAATTTATAATCATACAATTATATGCGTGTCTTAATGTTTCTATAGTATTATTAATTGTATGTCATAGTCAGTTAATGTATCATTTTAAGTGTGCAGATCAGTAAAAAACTGGATCTAAAAAATCTGGTTTTCAGTTACTGGATGATTATGTTGCACCATCTCAAAGATATAAAGTTATAAAGTTAAGACAGATACTTAGAATACAATCTTTCCAATACAACAATCTCACAGTGGGACACAGAAATCTGAACATTAAAAGGATATTTTGTATTTCGCTGAATTCCTTTCTCCATTTATACTGATTCAAGAAAATACCTCTACATGAAAATTACCTCCTATGTCTCAGTGACCTATGTCAAAATAAAACAGGGCTCTTTCCCCACAGAACAAGCGAAATAGTTGGTTCCAACTTTTGTCCTTGTACTTGTGAAAAATGAAGCTAGACTTTTTTCTCTCCTCTGCCCGAACTCCTCCCTGCAGGAAGTACAGCATTTGGGATTGTGCATTAACTCCCTTGGTCACAAAGGAGCTATTAAGCAAATGACTGTTTCCAGGAGCCAGATAGAATTAATGCACCGACTGATGATGGAAATCCATTCAAGCGTGAGTGAGGAAAATTATCCAACTGCTTTTCTGCTCTGTTCTCTGTCCTATGGACTGAGGCTGGAGCTTTTTTATATTCTACTGCTTCTGACGATTGCCTGTCATATAAAAGAGCTCCCCGAGATTTCTCAGACATTCCTCTTCATTCTGGGTGGCTGCATAGCTGCTCCAAGGGTTTCCTATTCTCCCTCAGACAGAGCAGTAGTTCATACTGCCTGGAGCTGTGCATCACTGGGTGTGTTTTTTAAAAGGTTATGCAGTGTAATCAGAAAAAAAATGGCTTGAAGTCAGCTAGCACGGGGTTCAGGTCCGGCCAATGCCGCATAACAGCTCTATAATTTCTGGTAAGTCACTTAACCTTTCCTCAATTAAAAACTGAAGATAGTGCCCAGCCGGTGCAGCTCAGTGGTTGAGCACCGACCCATGCACCAAGAGGCTGCAGGTTAGATTCCTGGTCAGGGCACATGCCCAGGTTGTGGGCCCAATCCCCAATGGGGGGCATGCAGGAGGTGGCCAATCAATGTTCTCTCTCATTGAAGTTTCTATCTCTCTTTCTCTTCTCTCTCTAAAATCAATAAAGAAAAAAAAATATATATATATATATATATATATATTTTAAAAAACATTCTTTTAAAAAAAATACTGAAGATAGTAAAATCTATCCTTGATGGTTGTAATAAACATTATACACAAACACACATGCACACACACATACATACATGCATATAGTCAGAGGAAAGACAACATATAGTAAACACTGAGAAATAATGATTTAAAGTTAAAAACATGACTTTTATATATAATTTGTCTCTTATTCAAATAACCCACTGCAGATTTCCACACCAGCTTCTCCATGCTATCATTGTGCATTCACGATGTATTGTTTCTTTGGGGAGAGCAACATGTTTCAAACCCTCTTTGTTTTATCAGTAACAGAGAGAGAAGAAGTGAGAGGGGGAGAGAGATAGAAACATCGATCAGAGAGAACATCGATTGGCAACCTCCTGCATGCCCCCCACTGGGGATTGGGCCCACAACCTGGGCATGTGCCCTGACAGGAATCAAACCAGTGACCTCTTGGTGCATGGGTTGATGATCAACCACTGAGCCACACCAGCTGAGCTAGGTTCTTTATTCTAATACATTGTATTCAAGTATCATTGTTTAGTTGATATTTTGTGACCTAGAGGGAGGGAAATAGGCAAAAATATTTATGAGCTTTAATTGGTTCATATAAACAAATATTGTTGACAGCAAGAAGTAAACCCTACACTGAGGACAGTCCAGCTGGAGGGATTAATAAAACTACCAAATGGCTTTAGCTCTCTCTCCTATCAGCCTAATAAAAAAGCAAATACTGCTTTTCTACTTAGGAAGCAAAAGAGCTTTCAGTCATTTTCCATCTGGCATTTGTTAGATAATGGAAAATGGCTTTTCTTGGACGGGAGGGGAAACAGTGTATTTGATCTTACCTCATTATGCTCTTCCTAAAGATCTGTAATGTTACTGTGGTCATTTTAGGATGCAGTGACACCAGGGTTTGGCGAAGTATTTTAATATTTCAGCAGCTTTTATTATACTTTTTTTTTTTTTTTTTGTCGTGAGATAAACATAGAAGAGAAAGTTGAGGGGAAAGCTTTCATCATTTTTCTACCTTATATTTATTTCTGTTTTACTATTTTACTCTAATTAAATTATGTGTTAGACCAAGAGAACAAACTTCTACCTTTTTCCTGAATGCTGGCTCTGGCATAAGACGAATTTGATCTTGATTTGATCATGATTATAGAACTTAAGCTGGGTTTGCTATTTTAATGAGAGTGCCCTAGAAAGCCTCATGGTCTGGATAGTGACCTGTCTAAAAACCCTATTCATCTATACTGGGCCATGCCCATGTGCAGGACAGAAGCGATTCAGTCTCTCAGTCATCAATGTTTTAAATACATGTTTTCCTCATTTATTCCATTTTTTGATCAATGAAATAGCCTACTTAAAACATACTTCCTGCCTGGACAGTGTGGTACAGTGGACTGAGTGTCATCCCATGGACTGAGAGGTCCCAGTTAGATTCCTGGTCAGGGCACATGCCCAGGTTGCAGGGTCGACCCCCAGTAGGGGGCGTGCAGGAGGCAGCCAAATGATGTTTCTCACATTGCTGTTTCTCTTTCTCCATACCTCTCTCTCTAAAATAAAAATAAAATAAAAAAATTTTAAAAAACATATTTAAAAAACACAAAAAACATACTTCCTCATAAAATTTTCTCTCCTGTGGGTTTCCTGATGGGACTTTGGTATAGTCTGGGGTGTTTGATGAGGGAGATACTTTCCTATGAGTTTTGAACAGCATGGAGAACTTGCTTTAGATATCCTTAAAGTGATGAGTATTTGACTATTGGGAAGAAAGCATATAGAAAATCTAAGTAAATTTCTTTCCTCAGTACATAATAATGCATTAAGCATTTTTTGGCCAGGGGATCCAACTCTGTAGGGCTTTGATAATTTCCTGAACTTCTTTCATTTTCTGCCTGGCACAGGTTTCAAAAACTTCCCACTCTAGGCTCCCAGAACACCTGTTACTACTGAGCGAGTAATTCATGACAGGACTAGAGTCAATGGCTATTTTGTCATTTAAGTATCTATGATGATGCTTCAGTCTAGTAGGCCACTCACAATTTTGCTTTTTATTGTGAATAGTGAAGATGTTTCCGAAACTTACCAGTGTTTTGGTGAACTTGTTAAAACTACAAAAGAGAAAAATTTTATACTTATTTTTGCCCTGACTAAAGCTTAAGTAGCATGAATCTTGGGCTCTAAAGAGGTTAGAGTCAGTGTGACAAGACAGAAATGTCAGCAGAATATATGTTATCAAGGGCTCTCCGCATTCAAGAGGGGGTGCATTCAAGATCAACATAATAGAACTGTCAAATTTGCATGTGGAATTGTAATAACTCAGAGGTAATTCAATATTTTGGTATTATATTCTTTTTGTTCAAAAACAGAAAAATTCAAAAACAAAAGCAAAAACTGTCCCTCCCCAAAAGAAGCTATTCTCCTTAGTATTCTTTTTCATTCATTTATAATCCATTCAGTAAATTATTTTTGACTGTCCACTCTGTATGCTGGACACCGTCCTAGGTACAGAAAACAGCCAACAGAAAGACATGTGAAATTGACCCTCCAGTGAAGAAGAATCAAAGAGATATACAAGTTAAACATAGAGTATGTCAGATGATAATAAGTTACCTAGACATAAATAAAACTAGAAAGAGAAATAGAAAGTATCAGAGGTGGGTATAGAAAATTGTCTCCCTGCTGTGGAGATGTGTGTGCATTAGATTTTTGGAGACATGGCATGACTTGGAAGTCCAAGATTATTAGACTGACACTCATAAAAGGTACAATACACATGGGATTGATTTTGATGCTCTCAAGGCAGGTCATGGTGATGACATGATGAATGAAGGGGTATAGGATGAGAGAGGAGTGGAATCTGTCAGCTCTGTGTCTTTTGCTTTCCTTGGTAAAAGTAGGAGAGAACTGCAACTGTGAATTCATGGACAGATATACCAGTTACATGTTCAAGTTATCTGATTTCTTTCTCATCCAAACGATTTTTCTTAAACTAATTATGACCATGTCAAAGTCTCAGTGATCTTAGTGAAATGAGAGCTCAGGTCTTCTCTATTTTAAAGAAAGTCCATCACATTTATGAAATTGAGAAGAGGCACATCTATTCAGTTTTCTACTTGGAAAACATATAAATTAATCTAAGCTTAAGAGTCAGAAAATAAAAATATTCCTTTGGAGGAATATTCATCTCCAGGCATTAGCGTTAGCTTCCCCTTTATTTTCAATATGGGTTAGCTCCTCTACTACTTAGTCTGCACAGCTTCTTGTATATGTTCTGTCTTCCTATCTCCTCTTCTTTGCTCCCTCCCTTCTCTTTGCAAGAAAATATGCCAAGAACTGTGCTGGGACTGGAAATAAGTTAGTAAATAAGAATGACATAGACTCTGCAACCATGGAGATAATATTCTAAAAAGGATGAGTGGGAACATGTAATCAAAAAATTAAATGAACAAGTCAATTAATTTTTAACAATCCTCCAAAAATAAACAAGGTAAAAGGGCAGAGCAAATAATCAGTATTATAATTATAAATGTTTAACTGTATGTAACTGATTTCATCCTAACATAGGTATATTAAAATAAAAGAATTACAGGAAAATATGCCTAATATATAAGAAAACATTAAACAAATAATATAGAGCCAATATTAATTCTTTTGAAAGACCAGCTAAAGAGATAACATTATTAAACCTCTAGAGAAAAGAGAAGTATTTTAAGGCCTTCTCTGTGGCCCACAGGGGTTCTCTAAACATGAATGC